GACAAGAGGGTCCTTCTGTGTCTATGTACCAGCATGACCCCGTCTGGGTTCTAAGAGACTAGGATGGGGACAATAGCTTTCCCCCTCATGTAAATGGTTTGAAAGTGCCGTTGCTACCTGTTTATCCTGCGATTCTCTGCGGGCCCAGCTGCCTCCACACACAGCCTGCCTGTGTGCTTATGTAACCCACACACCTTCTGGGTGTTGGCTTTTAGCTCATGAAGTAGCAGCCCATGTACTAAGCTCCAGAGGTCCCCGGTTCAATCATGCTCGCTGATGACCAGGGTCTGTTAGCGTTACTATCTTTCTGTTGTTTGCTGTGCCTTGTCTTTGCATACCCCCTGTACTACATACCCCACTGAGTCAAGTGTTTGCACCTCAGTTTTCCCTTCAACTCTCCAATCGATGTTGGAGTCTTAATTAGCATTCCCACGCTTGGAGACTGCTGTACGAAGCCATTTTGGTTCCACATCATAAATAGTTCCTTTGGCCAACGCAGGCCCAGGTGATTTTTCACAAGTTCCCTTTAACACACAGTTTCTGTCTGTTTTGCAGCATTGGGCTCAGCTGAACAAAACTGCAGTCCTGTTCCAGCTACTATCTGTTGGGCTCTTCCTGGAACACAACACAGTACCTTGAGCCCTTCCCTGGGCTTAGAGTCCATTTGGCCCTCTTTCCAAAGCTTCGTGCCCCACATCTTTTTGACACCTGTATTAGGCCACCATCAAAGGGCTTCCTGGCTCTCCTAGACCCTTCTCCTTAGCCCATAAGGGAGAGCCTCTCACACCTAAATCCTGGCATGCTTCCCAGATTGCCACCAGCCTAGCTCTACTGCAGGGAATCCTTCCGACTCCCTGCAGTGTTCTCTCCTCCACTGCGTTAGCGGGCAGTCCATCTTATGGGAGGCACTGCCTCCAGACTACTCTCGTGTGATCCTTGTCACCTGACTCAGACACAGGCCAGAGCTTTACAGGCCCTGGTACTCCACCCTGTGACACATCCTATGCATCATGGGCTGCCTTAAATCATGCTTCATAATGCATAATATGGTAGCATGCCAAATTTAGCAAAGAAAACAGACAGCAGCCAGGAGCAGCCCTTACTCCCACTTGGATCCCCACCAGCTGTACTGCTGGCCAAACCCTTGTCCATCAATATGCTCCTTCCTGGATGGATCTGTCGATCTAATTTCTGTTGGGCTACTTGCCAGCCAAAATTAAGAGCTACAACTGAATGAGATCAGGACTTAATTTGCTATTGTTTAGAGGAGTTGTGGGGTGTCTCATGTCCTGGGGTTGACTGGGAAATTTCCTTTAGTTCTGCAGGCCAATACAAGTCTGGATACAATACAATTAGAGATGAGCCAAAACTCTCCCTCAAACTTTGATTGTTTGATTAAATTGGAGCCCAGATTCAAACTGCTTCTGATTTTTGTTTTTACAAAAACTGAAACCCAACAGATGAGATTTGCAATGAAACCCCGATCTCTCTCTGCTCATCTTTTTTAACAAACACTGTACATGGTTGGGAATATACATCTTTGTACCTCTGCCAAGTTGGTCATTTTACAAGGTTTTTTTTGTCGGAGAGGGCAAAATAATTACAATAGCTTGGGATGACTCCTCTTAGTTTCTTAGCCCCCAGTTGCAGAGTCATTTGACATTATACTGAAGGAGACATTTGGGAGTAATCAAAAGGATAATACATTTAAATCTGCAATGGAAACAGAAAAGCATTTTTTCAGACTTAAGACAGTGCATTATGTGAAAACCAAACACGATGCCAAACGTTTACTGCCTTTTGACATTCATTAAAGATATTTACCTTCAAATATTATGCAGAACTGGAAGTTGCACTTTCAAAATGGTGTACAAAATGGCTCATTAGCCTTCCTATAAAACCTAGCCTAATGACAGTGTAAGTCAGTGTCTCCACAGTGACCCATGCTGACCTTGTTCATAGGCAGTAATTGTGAACATCTCTTCACAGATGTTTCCACTTCTAATAGAAGCTCTGTGACATGAACTCCTCTTTCAGGGACCCTAGGCAGGTCCACACTCATTTGCAGTTTTCACACAAAGGACAACAATTATAAATTAACAAAGCCCTTCAACAGAGGCACTAATACTTACAGCGGAGATTATGAGGGACCTGAAGCAGTGATCTTTCAACAGAGGGGGCCTGAAGTAATACATCAGTGCCACTTTATGATCTTTGTATTAATGAAAGTTTTGCTTCGATTTTACCCTATTATCACACTGTTTGTTGTGTTAACAATGAGAGGTTGGCGCCAAAGCACTGTTAACTTGTTCTACTTTAGCCTTTTTGGTAGCCCCCCTACCCAACCCCTAGGAATGATCATGCTGCTTGAACAGAAAAAGAGACAAGTTACTGCATATATGCCATGTCATTTTCCTTCTCTCCTGACAAAAAGCGAGGGCTAGATGCTCAGCTGGTGTAAACTGGCATTGGTCCACCGACAGCAATGAAGTTATGCTGACTCACAGCAGCTGAGGATCTCCCCTTTTTTCAGAAGTGCCTTATATAAGAGTGTGTACTTATGAAAGGCGTACACTCCTAAGAAAAAAAGATTCTACCCTCTCCTTCTAGTTACCCTCTTTTTAATCCTGCAATACAAGTTTCTACCATGCCTGCCAGCTAATACATTTTTAAATGAGCTAACGCCTATTAGGTTTGATCCTCCTCTCGCTTACACTAGTGTGAATCAGGAATAGTTCCACTGAAGTCAATGGAGTTACTCTGATTTTAAACAAGTGCAACTTCATTCATTTCCATGGAATTACTTCTGATTGACATTGGTATACGGGAACAATCAGGCCTCGTGCACACACTGTGGTCTAGTCTACACTTAATTTTTGCTGGCCTAGCTATGTCGATTGGGAGTGTGGAAAAAAAAAAAAAAAGCACAAGCCAAATAGATGTTACTCTGCTGGCAAATGCCGTAGGTGGACACAGTTATACTGGCAAAAAAGTTTGTTTGCTGTTATGGCTTATTTTGTTCAGGAAGGTAGGACAACTCTTTTGCTGCTATAAGCTCACTAGGAGGGTTTGCCAGTATAGCTGTACCATTGTAATTATGCCAACAAACCCTTCTTAGTTTAGACAAGGTTCACATGAAAAGCAAAGAGCAGAGAAATGCCTCCAATCTAAATGAATAGATCACTGAAGTGGGTGGATTGAGCTATTTAAAATTCTGATTTGCTTCCTGGTAGGTGAAGATATAATGTGGAGGATGACTGAAAAGTATTTTGGGGGACAACTGAAGATTTTGGACCACTTCTGGGAGAAATGCAGAATTTATAAATGAGAAAATACAATAAATGTGGTCTGTTTGACGCAAACCAATGTCAAAAGGGTAAATCATTAAGAAATTAATTTATCAAACTTGCTTCAAATAAAAAGGGAGGAAATCTTGAAACACAAAGCACTTCTCTTTCCTTGTTTTTTTTTCCCCCCCTTTACTGCCTCCTTGGGTGCCATTTTGAAATGAGAGGTTTCAGAGTAGCAGCCGTGTTAGTCTGTATTCGCAAAAAGAAAAGGAGTACTTGTGGCACCTTAGAGACTAACCAATTTATTTGAGCATAAGCTCAAATATTTGAGATGCATCCGATGAAGTGAGCTGTAGCTCACAAAAGCTCATGCTCAAATAAATTGGTTAGTCTCTAAGGTGCCACAAGTACTCCTTTTCTTTTTGCAAATACAGACTAACACGGCTGTTACTCTGAAACCTGAAAGAATAATGTATACTAGAACAAAAAGTTACTTGGCAACCAGAGCTCTTTACTAACTGAAAAGTAAAATCAATTCACATACTCTTGCCAGTAAGTGTTTTTGAGTTTTGGCAACTCAAGGACCCAGAGGCCAGGTCAGGAACTCAGATTCAGCTTTTCTCTGAGATTCCCTGATTAATTTTAATTCAAGATTGTTTGCTACCTGATGAAGCAGATTTAGTCTGTATAGTTATGACCCATTCCTCCTTTTCCTTCGCACTACCTGTCCTCATCACCTTTATGAAAGCCTCAAGAATCCCCCATTTTCTTCCCTTTACACTCCAACTCTTGTCGTCACCATTGTTCTGGCTGAAGAAAATTGGATAGGATTTCCATTGCATCTCATGGCAGTCCTTTAATTGTTTGGAAAGGAGCAATGAGCAAAATTTCTACATCCTGCCTGTCCACAAGAGCTTATTTTTAAAGGGCGGTGAGCAACCTCCATGCCCATTGAAGTCCGTGAGTAGTCAACACCTTAGAGTCAGGCCCAAGTGCCCAGGAATCAAAATTGTACCTCAAGGTTACCTTTTCACTGTGCTATGACTTTCAGGAGCTCTTTCATTATATTGGTGTGCACTGTATAACTTGAATCAGCTGGACGTTTTGTATCTTATTCAGTCTAAAAGTTGTTACATTATATTGCTGTCCATTCTATTTCTACATTTCTGAAGTACAAGAATAACTAATGGCCAACCGGCCCCTGCAGCACTGTCTTCTGGGCTGGAGTTACAAACATGAACAAGAACCACCTTTCTTGCTCTCCTTTCTGAAGATTTTATGATCTAATGCCTTACTCTTTTTTTTTTTCAGCAGCAATGGCACAAATATGACACCATGGTTTTCAAACTTTTTCTGTATGATGCAAGTTATTATAATATCTGTTTACTGCAAATACATTTCTTCAGTTTTGGTGATAACATCAATTAAGTTACTCAAGAGATTCCAGTATATTAAGTTCCAGTCTCATGAGGTTCAGGGACAATTGGCTGAAGAATGAGCAATGGCTGATTTTTGCATGTTTCAATATTTTGTAATTTATGGCCTGATATAATGTGTCCACTTGCCTAAAAACAATCAATTAGCCCTTTATAGTAAGTAGGTCAATATTTTGAATACAAACTCAGAGTACGCTCTTTTTCTGATTGTAAAGTGGTTTACTGATTATGCATGATAGAAGTAATACACATGTAGAAAAGACTTGTTTCTTACCATAGTGAGGAATTATTGCCCAAGCCATGGCAGAAGCATAGATGCCTCCAATCATCCAAAACATGCACAGCCAACTTAAGTGTTCACCACGCTTTTCTCGAGCAAGAACTTCAGAAAAATATGAGAACACTGTTGGAACAGCTCCACCAATCCTAAAAGGAGACACAAACCATGTGTTAAAGACAGAGCAATAGCAAGTCTGAACAAACTTCACTACTACTTAGAACCTGAACTAAAAGAGACTTTGCCACAAAAAAAGCGTTCTTATCTATGTTTTTTCTTAAGTACATTGCCACTTTAATAAAGGTCTTCTATGTGCCATAGGCCTGACTGCTGTGCATTTGAAAACTTTCGGGGAAGCCCCAAACTTCTGACACAATTAAATGCATAGATTTTCATGGAAACAGTATGGTTAATGAAGAAGTGCCAGATTAAATTGTCAGTGAGCTGTGTTATAGAGCTTGCAGAATTGTAACTAGCATAAAGTTGTGTATTTGACTTAATTTATATGAAAATCCATACGACTATTATGGTAGGATTGGTAGTCTACCAACATGACGACAAAATTCTCATGTAGCACAGAGAATTTTTTTAAATTAATTTTTGGTAAAATTTTCTGGAGTCATGGTGTAAGTAATAGCTGCTCTCCCTCCATTCACTCCTCCCCCTTCCCCCCCAACTCTTGGCTTAACCTCCTTTAACAGAGGATAGGCAAAAAAAATGTTGAAATTTGAAATATCCCTGATTATTGCACATATGCTTAAAAAGTTTTATGCAGTTATATTTTTTATGATTTGCTAGTAACTTATGCTGATTTTTCTCTTTTTGGTCTTTGAGTCTTGAATTTTAATTTTGGATGCAATGACTAGAGAGTTGTAACTTCTTTTCTCCCTACCGTGCAATACTGTACATGCTACTAACTCTTTGACGTTACACAGCAATAAATATTTTATTGTTACCCACATTGTTGGAAGACTCCTATACAGTATTCTTAATAACAACAAAGTTTAAAAATATACCATGTGGTTATAACTGAACAGTCTGAAATGAGAACTAAAAGCTTTTTCTTCACTGTAGCATCCTGGCAGTTCTATCCTCGTTAGGCATTTCTAAGGTGTCCATCTTCATAGTAGCTAGGTGCCTAGAAGGATCTCCTACCCTATCCAGGTGGTTTAGAGTACTTGAAACGAATGTTTTATTACAATGAGCATTTCTGAAGCTTGTGCTGCCAGGGGCCATACTGCTAAAAAATGACATCATCTGTGACACCAGCAGTATTAAAATTGGGATCAATAAGCCATCATCAATACCAATTTACCAATGAGAAGGAGGAATTTTGTTGTTTAATAGTTAAGCAAAATGTTTACTCGTTATGATTGCCAACTTAGATTTAACACAATGTAAATTGGTTTACTACATCTGATACTAAGCTGTGTTGTCCTGGGGGTCCAGTGTCAATGTCACAAATCAAGCCCCTTTTCTGCAATGTGGCCACTGCCTGCAGTTAGCTTAGAAATGTCTATTTAAAACACAATTTTACATAAAGTTCAGTTCATCTATGGTGAAAATATGGACCTCTCAAAAGGCTACAATGAGAAAAATGGTTCAGCTTTCCTCTATAAAACCTAATAAAATTCAAGATCAGTATAATTTTCAGCATTAGATTCAGGGCTTTCATTATTGGTCTAGATCTTTGTTATAGGCTAAAAAGACAATGATACTTCTTAAAACTGCAAAATGTTCCATCATGTCCCAGGACACAAGATTTGTGCTTTCATTTTTCAGTGTTTAAGACAATGTCTATGGAGCTTCAAGGAGTATTTTCAGATCAGTGAATCGCTCAGAGAACGTGGGATATACTCTGTAAAACAGCTGCAATTCACACATGGTGAAGTCGCAACTGAATTTCAAGATAAGGATAAATGCACATTTATGCTGCTGTCACACTGTGCCACACTGTCACACTGGCTGCTAAAACTGATTGGGAGAAAGAAGCAAGTTTACCAACAGGTTAAAACAAATATTATAGAGGAAAAGAGTAATGCAAAAATAAACTTCTGTCCCATGAACATTCAGTGGGTTCCAATACAGTTTATTTTAGAAGATGTTAAGGTACTTCACTAAGTGGTTACATGTCTCAAAGGGGTTGTTTTTTTGTTGCTTCCTTCTAGGCATCAATTTGCAAAGGATCCATAATAGACTCTTACATATATTATAAATAGCTCCCGAGATTGACTGAAGCATGCTAGTTCTTAAATTCTCTGCAAAAGTCCTGCTACACAGAGTCATAGCCCCATAAAATACCACTCTTGCTAAAGAGCTAGAAATGTAGTGTGAGATCTTCATCCCCACTCCAGTCCTTTTATGGTGCGCAAAAGGGCCAGCAGGGTATAAAGGGGACCTTACAGCCTAATATCCATCTGGGTGAGAATCCCCCTGGTACAGAGACAGACGACAATCATAAGGCTGTTCTCCAAGGATCCCCTTTACATCTTGGAGTAGGGAACTGCTGGATGTAGGCTTGTGGAAAGCAAGTCAGGGATGAGGCTGCAGCCCAGAGTGCTACAGAGATTCTGAGCCTGTGGAGGATGTTGTTAATTTAGACAGGTCCTTAGGGCTGCCTCAGTCAGGCTGGGGTCCACTCTCCAGAACAGCCCAAGACTGGAAGTGTACAAAGGTGTCTTAAAGCTGCAATAACCAAACCTCCTTCTGGTCTGAGGTGGAGCACTGACTCTCATCCCTACAAAAATACCCTGAATGTAGTACTCGATGCTCAAATTAAATTCTTTAAATTATGTTGAAGAATTCACGGGCGATGGCAGAAACAAGTATTCCATATCCCTGCCTAACCCTAAGAGGTGTTGAACATGCACTTGTGTTGACTTGGCGTTCAAAGCGCTCACCTCTTAGAAGCAACACTTTCACTTGGGTCTTGCTTTAGTCCGCAGAAGAGTTTCTTTAACGCCATATTTGCTTTGAAAACGACTTCTTGGCATGGCAGTGATTTTTTTCCTATAACCGCCTCTATCCATTAAGGAAGTTTGTAGTGCCCTCTGGGTATTTTTAACTGGTATTTACATATTCTGGTCACTCTTCTACGAATCTTATCACCATATTCTTGCTTCTAAATTTGAATGAGGGTCCAGATAGAAGTGACTAGATTCCCTAATAGGTGACAAAAACTTGAAGCAAAAAGGAAAGTAGTCTATATCCACATATTGCAGTTACTATGGTAGTACTTACAAATTCAGATAGCCTATGCTATGTTGTATTAATAATAAATAGTCATAGTTAAATTACTTATATAGAGCTTTGCATGTTCAAAGCACTTTACAAAATTATCTAGTACACAGGGACAATTCAGGCAAATCTGGGGCCCATGACTATGAAATTCAAAATTCAGCGTGTAATCTTATTTCCAAATCTCCAAGGCCATGCAAGCTGTGGGACTGGGACTTTAGGAGACTTCAAGGCAAAGGAATGTGCCTTGAGTCTAGAATTGATACAAGTGTCTTTTGGATGGTTAGGGGGAAATGGCAGGATGTTTTCTAGTAAACAGGAGGGAGGAACTTGCAATGTGCCATATTCTAGTGTCATGATAAAAGGAGAAAGATCCTGATCCCCGGCAAGCAGCTTAAGATATCACCAGGATGCTGTCAGCATGAAGCAGCTCAAACACCTGTGATGAGGTATACAAATCCAACATAAAACACAGGCAGAAAGGGGTTAAGAACTCTCCCTGCCTGCATTTCAGATTAACAGCCGTGTTAGTCTGTATTAGCAAAAAGAAAAGGAGTACTTGTGGCACCTTAGAGACTAACCAATTTATTTGAGCATAAGCTTTCGTGAGCTACAGCTCACTTGGCCCACCTATGAGAAATAAAGAGGGAGGAACAGGATAAGAAGAGGTAGAAGAGTGTGGGGCTTCAAGGAAGCAAGAACTCTCTGCCAGTCTTCCAAAGGAGCTAGCAGCCCCTGGAAGCACAAAGGATGGGGACAAAAGCCCTGAGGGCCAAGGACTTTTTGACTCGTTTATGTTGTGTTTTTGGCCTATGCCTTTTCTTAGTTCATTTGATTTAAGCCACTGCTGCTCAGGTCAAGGCCCAACCCAGGTCACTTCAACTGAGGTTTTGCAAAAGATGGTGTCCATTACTACTGACAGGTGGTACCAAAAGTGGGATATCGCTACCACTGAAAAGTGGACAGCCCATTAAAAACAAAACAAAAAATGAAAAAGAACAAAAAAGTCCCACATGAAGGTGAATCGGCTCCTACAATTGCTAGTCAATTCACAAGCACAACAGCAGCAGTGACAACAGCAACTGTTAGAGCAGATGTTGACACACCAGTACCAAGTTATTACAATATATGACTTACCTGCTGCCTTTACAAAGCTGTTTGAACCACACCATGGCAGGAGCTGTGCCTACCGAAATTTGGGGAATGTCTCTAGACCTGATGTTTCCCAAGATCATGGCAGATGACTACCCCAAGTCCTTCCTGATAACTTTTGAGAGAGTAGCGTTGGCATCCCAATGGCCCTCGGAGCAGCAGGCTATCCAGCGTGCCCCCTTTTGGCAGGCGGAGCTCAGGTAGTGTACCAGGATCTTGATTGGTTGGGCTGCACAAGATTATGAACTTGTGAAGACAGCCATATTGAGACTGATAAGGCATTAACAAACAGACCTACCATCAGCTCTTCTGCAATGAGAGATACCCCCAAAGGCCAGGTAATGAGTGGTTGCCCAGAAACTGAAGGACTTCTGGTGGTGCTGGCTAACGTCGGAAACTCAGATGGGACCCAAGGCAGAGGAGCTGATCATTGTTGAACAGTTCATACAGATTCTCCCATTGGCAGGCCACGACTGGGGCTGCAGACACTGTCTGGAAACACTGATGGAAGGAACCCACCTCATGGATGACTATCTGACTGCTCAAACTGCCTAGGAGCCTCCCACCAAAGAGGCACTGGGGGCCACTATGAGCAACAAGGAAGAGAACCGCACCATGAGGGAGAGATGGGAACGAGGCCAGATAAGCCCCGGGAAGGCCCTAGTATCCAGCAGGGTGTCAGAAAGAGCCCACAATAAGCATCCCTCCGAGGGTGCCTCGACAAAAATCCCCCAGGATGACAAACAGACACCCCCAAACA